CTTTTGAATTCTTTTTAAATACAAAAGGGAGCTTTGAACCACGCCCTAACTCAGTTAGATAGAAATACAAAAGGAATTCAAAAATGATTAAATGTTCTAGTAGTAAAAAAAGTGGTATATAAGCTACGGTAGACAGAAGATTTTTCTATACCTTGGTGTATAATATACTATTATTATCTACGAATAATCTATAATACCTATGTTCAATATACACCTGTTTACTTAATAATAATATGCAATTTTTTGAAATATGAAAATATTTAATCCCCAATTCCCCCTACGAAATGATGAAAAATACACCCCCATATCCCTAACTATATGGAAATGCTAGCTTGAGTCAACTACAAAAAGTGGAAGTGATTAAAAATAAAAGTTTACGATTATGCCTAGGAACTTTACAAAGTACTCCTGTAAATGTATTAGAAGTAGAAGCAGCAGAACCACCACTAGAGATTAGAAGAGAATACTTAAGCAATATTTTTGTATCCAAATTACTGTCCCAGAACCGTACTAGAGAACCGTATTGGAGACGTAAGAAGAAACCTCTTTTAATATCAAGTTTACAACGACTAAATAATGTTCAGTCCTTCCTTTATAAAAACAACAAACTTCCTTGTTATAACATAGAATATAATCTTCTAGATCTTCAGCTACAACTTTTCTACCTTCAGTCAGAACACGTGCAGTGCCGGAACATCATAAACCACATTATTAACAATTCCATAAGTACCAGATGGCCAAACGCAGAATATATTTATACAGATTGATCAAAAATTGAAGAGAAGACTGGATGCGCCTTATACCATTCCAACAACAATGTATCACGGATGTTTAAATTACCAACTCAAATGTCCATTTACATGGCAGAACTTATAGCAAGAGAGATAAATCTCAAAATTAGTAGAAAGGTTTATTGATATTTCAAATGGGCATATGATTAAAACTATAAACAGAATAAGATGTAAACATGGGTTATATCCTGATTTTCAAAATCTAAATGAAGAATTTTACAAGAATCTGCAATTAACAGGAGCAACACTCCCCACCAACTTAGATGCGCTTTTATGTTCAAAAAATATAAAACTGTACTGTTATATATGAACATTTGAAAAAAATGAATCAAGATATTTGAAAAAAAATACAGATATATAATAATAAATAATAAAAAACAAAAAAAAAACAAAAAAAAAATAAACAAAAAAAAAACAAAAAACAAAAAAAAACAAAAAAAAAATAAACAAAAACAAAACAAAAAACAAAAAAGACAACTTGTTTAATTGTTAATAAAATGAAAATTTTGTACTTATAATAGAAAGTTCCTTCATTATTAATTATTGTATTGTTGTAATTTGTGAAAATTGTAAGTAGGCTTAGATTCGTTTTAACAACATTAGCTCTGGCCAATTGATCTGAGATCAAGACCATCATACAAAATACACATAAACATATCCCTAAAGTGAAACCAACCAAAGAAAAATTGAAAAGGCCGAGAATTAAACAAAGAAAAGATGATTGACGATAGTCGGAATCTGATTGACTTCATTCAAATCTACACTGTCAAAGCCATGTACCCCGATATTCCAACTCTGATTGACTTCAAATTTACGAGTTCGACTGTCAAAGCCATGTGCCTCGATAGCCCAACTGGTAGAGGCGTGAATAATAATTTCTAAAACAAAGGCTTGCAATATGATTTATTACGCATTAATACAGCCTGGTTATGAATCGTCAAGTCAGAGCGTTTCCGCCTGTAATTTTCATTTAAAACGTCAAAAAGTTGATTAATTTAAACACCACAATTTTATAATATTAATGTAAATTTAAATTCGATTCCTATATTTAACGTAACACATTGCGTGAATACAAACATTACTATTAATATCATTAAAGAAAATTATAATGTATTTTTGAATTAGTTATTCAATGTTACTCGTTCAATGTTATTTAAAAATAAAAATGTGTAGTAATTTCAGCTAAAATTATTTGATATTCGCGGATAAAGTATAATATAATACTCGCATATAATGGTTGTTATTTACAGTTTACGACATGTGTATTTTCCATTATCCTTATTTAATTTTATACTATTTTAAGTGAAAAAGTTCAGTAATAAATTCCCAAACTCCGAGGTGTGATAACAAACCAAAGAAAAATTAAAAAAGGTTTTGAAAAAAAAAATCCTCTGGTTTGTCTTTCCAAATAACCAGTAGACCACCGGAGCGTTATACACCCAGCGACCTAATTGTCAATTTGAGTACAAGATGCGACCCTAAAGCTACCATTTCGCAGTCCGAGACCGACTTCATTCAAAACGCGACAGCGAGAGAGACCAAAAACGGTCTCTTTACATCTGAACACATATAATTATATGAAACACATTTCGGTAGACGAGACTGACGACAGCAGATTTAGTATGGCAATATTTGCCGCCTTACTGCTGTCTCGGTCTCGGGTGGCTTGTCGCGCGTTCCCAAATGGTACCTGTAGTAGGATGAGGTGGCTAGTGGTAAGTAAAGCACGTAGGTTATGGTGAAAAACACACTTTAATATTGGAACAAGAACTAACAAATTATAACTAAGAACGAGGAACGAGTAAATGATGTAACTATATAATTGAGTGTTTATTCGCGCAAATATGAATGTGAGGATTGTTCGTATGTATGCACTGGAAGACCGGCTGTACTGTTTGTATGTTTAAACCACGTGTGTATGTCGTGTGTAGATACACAATGTATGTCCGAGCTGACTACCGTCTTACGCAATCGCGCTAGACCAACTGACTCTTCATACGCGGTGGACTCCACAGAACACTCGCCACCTGGCGTAGTAAAAAGTAGTCCCAGACAAGATACTCTACTCTCATTTACTGTAACTTCAGTGTCGAATCTAGTGCCAGTAGCGTAACATTAAAATATGGTAACCATGTTACCACATTCCTCCCCCACGAATTTAAGATTTAATCCATAAATCGAGATGGAAGTTTTCTGTCTCTAATCGGGTTTCTCCTTGGCGTAGAACAGCTTGTTTCTGGCAAGGTTTTAAACGAATCTTGAGCAACTTCTATTTCAGCTGGTTTTTGTAGCGATTCTGTATTTCCCTCATCGTAACTTTGGTTTGATGAAGTATTGTTTGATGGTTGATGAATATCAATGTCTTGGAATTCGTTACTATTCTCATGGAGCGACATATCTAACCCTGTATGTTCGGCGTCGTTATCATTTAGTGTTTTCTGCAAGTCAGGAGAAACATCTGATATCCGCTTACGCATCTGGTCAGAGTGTTTACGACGAAGAATGCCATCAGTATTGACTATATAAGATAATGGTCCGGTTTGTTTAACTATTTGTCCCGGAACAGAGCCTTTTTCTAGAGGGTGATTTACCCATACTCTTTCCCCTTCCACAAAATAATGTTGAGATGCTGCAGTGCTATCATGGTTTTGCTTTTGTATTATCTGTTCATACTCCATATTTTTCGTAACATCAGGCTTTAATAAGTCAAAACGTGATCTAAGATGACGTCCAAACATTAATTGGCTAGGTGGCTTTTGCTTCCCGCACTTTCAGCGAAGTAGAAAAACGTTATTCTACCATCGATAAAGAAGCATTAGGTCTTGTCTATGCAGTCACGAAATTCCATCAATACTTGTATGGTCGTCGGTTTATACTTATTACGGACCATAAACCCTTGGTGCGTATTTTTGGTGAAGATCGTCAAACACCAAAAATAGCAAGTAATCGGTTGTTACGGTGGGCTATGACTCTAAATAGTTACAACTTCGATGTTGCTTATCGTCCAGGAAAAGAAAATTGTCCTGCGGACTCATTATCTAGGCTTCCATTACAAAAACCCACAGAGCATCCGGGGTTACCAGATCACGCAAGATTACTGCACCTAAGAGTACAGAAACTTCCGATGAAAAAGCAAATTTTAAAGACTGAAACTTTGAAGGATCCCATCCTCGTCGCCATATGTAGTAGGATGAGGTGGCTAGTGGTAAGTAAAGCACGTAGGTTATGGTGAAAAACACACTTTAATATTGGAACAAGAACTAACAAATTATAACTAAGAACGAGGAACGAGTAAATGATGTAACTATATAATTGAGTGTTTATTCGCGCAAATATGAATGTGAGGATTGTTCGTATGTATGCACCGGAAGACCGGCTGTACTGTTTGTATGTTTAAACCACGTGTGTATGTCGTGTGTAGATACACAATGTATGTCCGAGCTGACTACCGTCTTACGCAATCGCGCTAGACCAACTGACTCTTCATACGCGGTGGACTCCACAGAACACTCGCCACCTGGCGTAGTAAAAAGTAGTCCCAGACAAGATACTCTACTCTCATTTACTGTAACTTCAGTGTCGAATCTAGTGCCAGTGGCGTAACATTAAAATATGGTAACCATGTTACCACAGTACCTTAACTCTGTTTATCGAATCCAGAGGGCGCAAGTTCGATCCCTGCTTGAAGCAAGTTTTTTCAAAACAGTTTTTCTTCCCTCACCCCTCGAATTCGGCAATTAAAGGTGAGATTACAGAAGGTCTGCAACTTTGCAGATCTGCAAATATGATTTACAGATGCAAGTATCAAGTTTTCGTATTCCAAAAAATAGCTGCAAATTCGCAATATTTATTGTGGTTTATTACCCCCAACAACACTAAACCCAAATCCACCCTTAAGGGTGAAATTACAGAAGCTCTGTAAATCGTACTTGCATCTGCAAATATCGGTTGTAGTTGCAAAAAAGAAACATGGTATTACAGAAACGTGTTTTCAATTTTTGCGTCTGAAAATCATCTGTAATTTTGCAGAAGCTTAAAATAGAAATTTTTTGGAATACGAAAACTTGATACTTGCATCTGTAAGTTCGCCCTAAAATTGCAGGCGTTCTGTAATCTCACCCTAAACCGACAAAATTACTCACGATAAACATTTTAGTTTATTTTTTTTAATACATTATTTGCTTATTTTTTGTTTCCAATTATTTTCAGGCGCCAAGACTGAGGCCCGAACTGGAATTTATGCAAGCGCTTATACTGATTGGCAAATTACTTAGTTCCATACCAACGAAAGAAGCGAAAACCACAAGGCTGGTAGCGGAATTGACAACGTTAAACCTGAACCTACCCGCGAGAGTGTGGTTACCCCTTTGTAGTCAGAATCCCCATTTTATAGTTAGGATACCCCCACAAGTGGCAGCTGTACTGAATTCCAAAGATAAAGTAAGTCTTTTAAGTTCTTGATTTTGGAGAAATAAATAAATTGAAAACTTTTTTTGTTCGGAAATTGTAAGTTTTATCATAAATGACCCGATAAAATTATTATTACTCTGAACCAAAATGCATCCTCATTGTACATGTGACGCAATTTCGATGTACATTTTGAATTTTGGCGGTCCTGACATTTTTATTCAATTTATATTATTTTCGTTCTTATCAGTGAGTTTTTAATGTGATTTGTGATTATTTGAGAAAGGCATTTAGAAATTACAAACAGACATCTAATATAAAAAATAATAATATTGTAAATGAGTAATTCAGCTTGATCTAAATTACCCCTTTATAATGTCTGGAATTGCACACATAACTTCTTTTTATTATAACCAATATAATTCCTTATAATAGTTTAAAAATTGATTACCACTTGTATATTTTATTTTACATTAAATAATAGATAATTTGATATACAGGGTGAGCCAATAAAACGGGATGATTTGGGAACGCAACTGCAGAAAAACACTAGAGGGGATGCGGGCTTGAGATGTTAACCTCGTGAATCTAGAGAGCGGGAAGTTATTTATTATGAATACTTGGTAGGATGAATAACGCACATTTTCCATGAAAGAACGCCATGGCTGTCAAATTCAGTACGATTGTACTGAATTCAGTACTTTTAAATTTTTTCAGTACGTCAGTGTTACGTTGTTAGTTTTAGTACGTTTTTGTTAAAACTAGTCAATTCAGTACCATTTTTAGTACTATTTGGACATTTTTCAAATAAAGTGACATATTTTAGTAGCAAAAGGTTTGTTCCAACATCGATCGCATACCAGTCACAGAATCCTGGTGTCAGTGATTGGTTTTTGATCGTTGTTGGAACAGACCACATAAAAAGGTATTTTTCGCGGCAGAAACCAACATGAAGGTTTATGATAGATTTATGTTATTTAGACGTCTATTATGATAGATTATTTGATTTAGACGTTTATAGACGTCTAAACAGCATAATCTATCATAAACGTTCATGTTGGTTTATCCCGCAAAAAATATCTTTTAGTCAATTCAGTACTATTTGGACATTTTTCGAATAAAATTACGTGTTTTATCAACGATGGATGACAGTTGACACTTAAGTCATGTGATGAGTCAAATAATTTATTTGAAATTGTTGGCTGTACTTTGGAAAGTAAAATGGTTAAGACGTTTTTTGTTGTACGTAAAGATTACCTATATAATTTAATAAGTGTAAAACCGTGTAAAACCACAAGAAAATCATATTTATTTAATTTTCACATTATTTTTCATAATGTGCCCATTTTTCTTCTATCTTCGTTTCTCTACAAGTTATTAAACAGTTAATGAATTTAAAGCTCCAGCCAGTTTTAAGGTGTTTTTCGGCTTGGTTGGTACATTGTATATTTTTTTTAAAGTTGGTTATTCAGTACGTTTTTTTCAGATTCAGTACGTTTTAAAAAATGTTTCAGTACGATTTGTCATTTCCATTCTGGCAGCCCTGAAGAAGGCGTTCCTCGGTCGTCTTATGAGCAAGAATAACGATATTCCCTAGCCACCTCGTTCCCCTGACTTGTCTGCGCTTGATTTTTCCTTTGGGGATACCTAAAACAAGTGTATCAAAGTAACCATCAAAGACTATCGTAAGCATTAAAAGGATTCGACATAAAGTAGCTGTCCCTGGCCATCTCGTTCCCATGACTTGTCTGCATTTGACTATTTCTTTTGAGGATACTTAAAAACAAGTGTTTCAAAGTAAACCTCAAGGACTATCCAGGCATTAAAAGGATTCAACATAAAGTAGCTGCAATACCGCTAAAACTGCTGTGGCTGCTTTGCAACAAGGCTACAAAAATGTGTGCGACAAAATAGAGGCCACCTTTCCTACATTATTTTTAAAAAATGACCGATTAAATTAGATTTAATTAGGACTACGGGCTATTTGGCCTCCCCCACCTTGAGCTTTTCAGATCTATTGCGGATATCCTTTAATCATTGTTTAGATTACCTTGTCTAATTCGGTCTTTTGTAGTAGACTCCATAGACTGGGAAGTAGTTCTCCGGTATAGCTAGTTGCCCTTGGTTTTTCTTCTCCAAGTGTAAGGAATCTCAGTCTTGCTAAACCTTCGCAGTAGCAAAATACATGTTCTGCCATTTCCTCATCTTCTTGACAGAATCGGCACAACGTCTCTTCTGTCAGACCGATATTGTACATATGTTTGTTAAGCCTACAATGCCCTGTTAATAGATCTACTAGTACTCTACTATTTTTCCTATTAAGGCTTAGTAGATGCTCGGTGAGTTTAGGCGATGGTCCTTACAATAACTCTTTGGCCTGTCTCTGTCCTGGTGAGTTTTTCCACCACTCCTGAGATTTTTTAAACATCCACTGCTTTGTGTATGTTCTAATAGTTGTTTTTGTTACACCACAGAAGGGTTCTGGACCAATAAGAGCATTTGAGGCTCCTTCTCGGGCTAGTAAATCAGCCTCTTCATGGCCCTTATGTCCTCTGCGGCCTAGTACCCAGGCTAAGGTTAGTCTTTCTTGACTATCCAGCTCTGTTAGGGCTTCCAAACAGTCCCACACAAGCTTTGAGTGTACCTGCATGGAACTGAGTGCTTTTAACGTCGCTTGACTGTCTGTGTATATGATAATGGTTTTTCCATTTACTCTTAATACTTCTTTTGCGCAGTGATGTATTGCTGCTATTTCTGCCTGGAATACTGTCGCATGTTTACCTAAGCTCAGTGAGATTCTTGTCTTTGGCTTGGTACTATATATACATACTCCTGAACCTTCATGGGTTTTGGAGCCGTCTGTATACCAGGTGAAATCTGCATGAATAGGAGGTCCTCCCGTCCACGCTTCTCTGTTTGGTATACTTACTTTATATTGCTTTTGAAAGCTATACTTTGGGAGCATTTCGTCTGAAGGCATTCCCATTATTTGGTCGTTCTCCAACTCTTTATATATCTCGCTGTAGTCGCGTCCATGCAAACTGCTTATGGGTGATGAACCTTTGTGCAGTCTGTATGTGACAGACCTAGCTTCGCTTTGAATGAATATATGTAGTGGTGTTAGGTTTAGCATGACTTCTATAGCTGCTGTTGAAGTCGTTCTCATAGCTCCCGAGGTACTCAGGCATGCTTGCCTTTGGATACTATTTAGCTGTCGAATACCACCGACCCGTAGGTTATCATCGGCCTTATGACTCTGGACCATAGGGACATTTTTGGTTGTAGTCCCCAATTTTTTCCACATAACCTTCGACATAAGTTGAAGGATGTTGTGGTCTTTTGGGTGACTTTTTGCAAGTGTTGATTCCATGTTAACCTGTGGTCAAAGATGACTCCCAAGTATTTGTCCTCTTGAGCAAATGGAATTTTCACTCCTTTCAGTACTGGTGACTTTAGTCCTGTTGGTACTTTTAGTTTTGTAGTTGACTATTGTGGTTTTGTGAGGGTTTACTGTTACTGCACTATTACTGCACCACTCGTCAACAATGTTTAGAGCGGTTTGTGTGCGCTCCGATATTGTACCTGCGAACTTGCCTCTTACGACGATCGCCAGGTCATCGGCGTACCCTAGGCAGTAAAAATCTGCATATATTAGCCTTTTTATAAGTTCGTCCACTAGGACTGACCGGAGGAGGGGTGATAGTACTCCTCCCTGGGGGCAGCCCCTGCCTGCTTTAGCTGTCAGTGTAGCTTCGCCTAGAGATGATGTTATTACCCTTTCTTCTAGGCTGGCTTTTATCCAATAACATAGGACTACTGGTACTTCTTTCATTGCTAATGCGTCAATTATAGATCTTGTTTGGGCATTACTAAAAGCTCCCTCAATATCTACGAAAGTTGCTACTGGGATTTTGACAATAGCCTGTTAAGATCATTCAGGGCCAAATCGGTTGACTAGCCTGGCTGATATGCATATTGACGGTTGCTGAGAGGATTTTCTTTCAGTATTTCGTCTCGTATATATCTATTAGTATTTCTAGTGTTTTCAGCATGAATTACGATAGACTGATTGGGCGGTACGACTTTTGTGTCATATCATTAAACCTTCCTACTTTTGCCTATACATGCTTTAAATATGCGACACATATGTGGAATTAAAGTTCCCTGTCCCTTTTGTAGTAAAATGGGATATATTCCTTCTACTCCTGGGGATTTGTGTGGTTGAAATTTGTTTGTAGCCTATCTAATTTTGTTCGCCTCGATATTTCTGTAGCTAGCCTCCATTCCAAAGGAGTTGGCCTACGAGACCTTCTTTGAGGGCTGTATGCTACTTTCGGGCCTAGCACAATTTCTGCGGCCGGAAAGTGTATTTCTGTGTTAACGTTTCCTCGAAGGTTTTTGTATAGGTTTCATCATCTTTCCTGAAAAATCCTACTTGATTTGCAGCACCCTCTTTAGCTAAGACTTTGTGGATTCTAGAGCATGTGTGTGTTTCAGATAACTCCTCACAGAACTTCCTCCACGATTGCCTTTTAGCCTTTCGTATCTCCTTGTTGTACTGCGTGAGATTAGCCGATTTTGTACTTACATAATATTTCCATTCGTGTAGATCAGTGTTTCTCAAAGTGTGCTCCGCGGAGCCCTGGGGTTAAGGAAGGATATGATTTTGATTTTGCTTGAGGATTATTTTTAGAAATGTGTTAGATTCCATCGCAAAAAAAGTTTGAGAAACACTGGTGTAGATTATGTTTTCATCAATACATTTTTCAAAATATGATTTTTTCAAATCGTCCCATTTCATTGGCTCACCCTGTATCAAATAACTAATGTTTAAAATTAGAAATACTAGTTTATTTTACAAAGGAGTACAACATTTTTACAAATAAATGCCAATTATGACACTGAAGCCTGAAATTTGAAATTCAACGAATTTAGTCTTATAAACGGCTTTGAAATCATTACTCGGAGCTTTCCGCCTATCACTAGTTCAAAAATTATAGATATTTCGCTACATACTGATATTACCCTTGATTTGACGAAAAAATTAAATTCTTGGGGATAAAATCATAATTTCGTAGCGGGAATTTCCAAAAGTAATCATTTTATAGTTTTATTATACAGATTTTTTTTTTGGATTTTACGAGACAGTGCTTTGAATAAGTAATAAATCACTTTAAATACTTACGTTTAAAATAAATTAAATTTACATCGATTCAGGCTGATACACGATTATTAAATAATGTTAACATTTTATACTTGAGTATAAACGATGAGACCATTTCCGTCATTCCTATATTACAATATTATTTTGAATCATCGTATATTTACAGGAAAACAATTACGAAATGATTCAAAAGTGAGCTGTTAATAATAATTTATCATCTCAAAATTCCTATTGAATTTGCAATATTTCGATGCATTAAAAAATCGGCAAAAATCGATTGCCCTTAGCCATCCTAAAGGTTTGATATTTGTTCGATTTCTTGATATTATTAGTAGATCAACAAAGATGATTTCGACTTACTACTTAAAAGTACAGTATATTATACATTTCACATTGAATGCCGTTTTACCCTTACTCTATACTGGGTGTCACAGTTGTATTATTCCAACGCCATAGCTCAGTTGTTTCATAAAATTTAAATGTTTTATACAAACCCAATGTCCTTAAAAATAAACATAATAACCATATTCATTCACTTCCGGTTTGACCGAAAACGAACTTAACTTTTGAAATTTAAATGACACCCTGTATATTTAATTTAAAATTTGAATTCTACGCAAAATTTCCTTTTCAACGAGGTAATACACTTTTTGTATCATCAGATTTTAAAAAATAGTAAAATTACGAAGAAGGCTTTGGAATCAACTGACGTAAGGTAATTGCATATTTGAAAGTTCACTTTTCTGTGTAGTATCTGAAGCGTAATAAATGTATCAATTTAAATTTGTCTCGAAATAAGTATACACAAATGCATGATGATGCTTTTACACATCAAGAAAAATTAGATATGGTTGTAATTTATGGGGAATGTCGAAAAAACCGCCGTAATGCGTTAAATGTTTATAGGCGGCGTTATCCCTAAAGACGTATGCCAAGCGCTATGTACCTTACACGCTTATCATCTAATTTGTCTAAAAGTGGATCCTTCTCCAAGAAACAAACTATTTTTAAAAGAAAAACTGCTACTGATGATGACCATAGTACTGATATTTTGGGAAGAGTACTTATTAATCCATATATTTCAGATAGACAAATTGAAATGGTGCGATATATCTCGATCTTTTATTCAACGAATTTTAAAAATGTAAAAAATTTATATAAAATGCATCTACACCAACACCAAGCACTAGAAGAAAGAGATTAGAACAGAAGACTTAATTTCTTGCGTGGTTAACGACGGCACATGAGGATGTTATTACCAATTCAATATAATGGTCAGATGAGAGTCGATTTCATAACAACTGAATAGTGAATCGTCATAATTATCATTAATGGTCTCAAAATAATCCACACTGGATACGGGAGACTAACTTTCAAAGAATTTCGGGAATTAATGTTTTGTGTGGTATTATAATTAGACCGAAATTCTATGAATGTACGTTAACTGGGAATAATTATTTACAATTTCTTCAAGACGATTTGCCTGTACTGTTGGAAGATCTACGATCTACCACTACATATGCGCGCCAACATGTACTTCCAGCAAGATGGAGCACCGTTATTTAAACCAAATTTTTCCTAATCGGTGGATTGGCACATACTGACCAATAAGATGGCTCGCAAGATCTCCCGATCTAACACTCATAGATTACTTTTTATGGGGTTATTTAAAGGGAAGAGTGTGCCAAACGTAGATTTAAACGAATGAGAAATGAGATTGGAGCACTTAATGTTGCTGCTGGAGTGTTAAGAACTGTAACGTCTCGTGAACTTTCGCGTCGAGCCGAATGTTGCCTGGAACAACAAGGACAGCAGTTTGAACATTTTCTATAATATTTAAGATTTTGGTTTTTCGTGTGAACTGTGTCAAAATTATAATTTTATGTTATAACTATTCGCTCCGTGCGTGACAGCACGCAAATTCATTTATGTACTAATGGACTATTTTTGCGTATACTGACAATACAATTTTTACTGAAATTCGTAATTAAAAAGTGTATATGTTAGTTTTAATAAAAGTATACGGATTTGTAAAACAAGTGTAACATTAATTTATTATTATTATTATATATTTTTATTGTCTAAACTAAAAAAAAATTAAGTATAATCAATAAAAATTAATAATAAAATATAGGCAGGTAACAGTATTTACTGGAAAATGTATGAGAAGTTGCCTAAGTCTAATAAGTTGTCTTTAAAGAATTAACCTATTCTGTCAAAATAAAAAAATACTATTAAATAAAAGCGTGAAGTTAAAATGTATTAATAGAAAAATTGTTATTTATATTTTCATTTTTGTTCGAAAGAAAACATAGAATGAATGAATAAAACTAGTTTCTTATCAGTAAGTCACAAAATTGCATTCCAGTCGTATACAATAATCAACGGCAGAAATATAGTTCTTGCTGAACATTTAAGATTAAAGGGTTCTCTGTATCTGTAATGTGTGGAGAGTAGCTTACCCCACGGCACTTAGGCCTCATTAGGCCCATTGTGCATCCTCCTGAGAAGATAGGCACCTCCTATCTCGTGAGAATAAAGGGTTGATGAAGAATATCGTAAAATGATAATTTATTGTTTATTAAAGTTTCTGATGTGTACTGCTTTGTCCAGTATTACTGTTAATATTACAAAAATAAAGATAATTTTTCTTCTTGTTGTAGAGCTATTCATTTATTTCTTTGATTTAATTTTCACTTTGCTACTGAACATTTTTATAATTTACACTGTTTTTTTTTGCTAGTATTTTTACAATTTACAACACAGCAACTCCGGTTGCTTATTGTATTGTTTTTACCTATTTTTTTTTTTTTTAAAGTAAAATGTATACGTGTAGTTGATATGCCAAAATTACAAAATATCTCCCTGAAATGCACGATTTATCCGCAGCTAGCGCTAGTATCGCTTTTGCTTTCCTTACCATGACTTCGCACTGAGCGAATAAGTTAAATAAAAAATTTGCTACTTTTTAAAATCTCATTTATTTCCTGATAGTAAGCCATAATATTACTTTGTTGAAAAGGAAATATTGCGTAGAATTCAAATTTTAAATTAAATATACAGGGTGTCATTTAAATTTTAGAAGCTAGGTTCGTTTCCGGTCAAATAGGAAGCGATAAATATGGCTATTATGTTTATTTTTGGGAACATTGGGTATATATAAAACGTTTAAAATTTTGAATTTAAATATGGCGTTGGAACAATACAACTGAGACACCCGGTATTAAGAGTGCCGTAATTTGTACTCTAACCATAAACAGTCGTTTTGAGCGCTACAAATCGATGAAATACAAGGTACTTAAAGATAGGGCGTAGAAAAATGTTAATTGTAACATCTTAATATTTTCCTCATTTAGAATTTCTTCCATAGGTGCGTTATTATTCTTCAAAATATTCGCCTTTCTCTACCAACCAGTAGGGTATTTCATCATTTTATTGAATTGAAATACTCGTATGCAACATAAAAAGAAACATGCCCATCTACACAGATAGCAGACAAGCCCTACTCACCTTGAAACGAATTTATTCAGGATTAGTACTAGAATGTCACGTAGTGTCTATCAACAATGCGGTCACCTTAAGATGGATCAAAGGTCACGCAATATCGAAAGGTAACCATCTTGCTGATTCACTAGCCAAGAAGGCAGTCAACCAAATACTTTTTGGACCTGGCCCTTCTGTTGAACTGACAACATCGGTAGTGACAAAGCTGATTAAAGAACACTTCCTTCCAATCAAATACTTGACTATGACTAGACAGAATATGCGCCTGATCACAAGCATTCTGACTGGTCATTGCATAGTACGGAAGCATCTCCATATCATGGGCCTGTCAGAATCCGCACTCTGCAGGAGTTGCGAACAAGAAGATGAGATCGACCCATATAAGAGAAGCACCTTTTGGCGACGTTTTTAACTGCATTAAATTTGAAGGCTCGCTCACGAGCTAGGTGGTGCCTATCTGCTTAGGAGGATGCACAATGGGCCTAGTGAGGCCTAAGTATCGTGATTTATCCCACCTTCCACACGTTACAGATACAAGCTGGTCCATTTTAAAAATAAAAAAATTAATGGCTGGCATTAAGAATGCAAATATACTTAATTTAATTTTGAAAACGTTTTGTAAAACCGGAATTCGGAAGCATAAGTGTCAGTTCGAAATTATATCTAGTAGATTTATCCCAAATTAGATTCAAATGGCTTCATAAATAAAAGAGATATTAACGTTGGCGTGGTCTTATTGCCACTCGGTATACCTTTAAACTACTTTAAATACAAATTACGTCATACTAATATAGCTTATAACGAATTGTTTTCTCGATATGAAATGACAAGTGACCTGACGTATGAAGTGATAGGTGGTAGACCCACGTAGCCAAGTTTCGATACTCGTCACTGATATGTTGTTGATCTACTATTATTTATTTTATATACGCCACAAACTGTTTTATAAATGTAGGCGTTTTATTTTTCCGACATAAAAAAGTTTTTTAGCATTTTGTATTTTTATTACGTTGATTTTTTACACTGTATATTTAAAATTACTTAAAATCGTTGTTTCAGGCCCCCTATATAATTTACGTAGAAGTAGTAGAAGTGGAGGATTTAGAAAGTTCTCCTGTACCACAAAAAGTAATGCCCTCTTTGAGACATACCAAGTCCGAAGAAAATCTCAAGCATGAAAGTGTCTCCTTATCGGCTTTCAGTATGTGCGGGGGATGTTACGATGACTTGGATCCAGATTGGAGTCAAGAAGATGACGAGATTTCTCAACAGGTGAGTTTTCGTTTATTTTTGTTTATTTTTCTTTTAATTTTCACTCAAAAACATGTACGCAAATTTATTTCTAGGCATAATTTCAATATATCCCTAAGTGTTAATTGAATCACCCTGTTTACTGACAATTATTTTGAAAGGTTACTCACTAATTAGAAACTAAAAAAATATTTTAATGTAAACTGTGATTATTGGATTCAATTCCGAAGTTTTTGAAAAAACAAGATAATAATACATGTGGGTGTAGTAGAGAAAAAGTTTCGATGCTCCAGGGAATTGTAAAAATGTTTCATTCAACTAAAAAGTCCGTTGCATAATGCAGAAGAGCTTTCTTTGTAGACGTAAGACAAAACTAAACTTTTTTTGTTGGGATTTCTTCGTAAATAATTTCATATTCTTTCAGAAAAATGCATTCGTTCTTGAGATATTCTTGGCATATATCATTCACGGTGAATAAATTCACTTCTACTCTGTTTCAGAATAAATATCACTTCTACTGTAAGTTTATTGCAAGATTATCGTTCGAGGAAATTACTTTCTAAAAATATTACTTGCGCGATTTCCACTTGGGATATTTTAAACGTGATGTTTCTTAAAAAAAAAAAAATTAGGTCTACATGCGAAAGTTCAATTTGTAAGATATTGGGGTCTATTCTGTAAAAATTCCTTTATATTTAACGGCCTTTAAAAATATTTTCTTCTTTACTTCTGTCATTATTTAAACGGATCTTTAAAATACATTAGAGTACTATCTTAAAGAAATCTGTTTAAATAATGACAGAAGTAAATTAACGAATACAAATATACTTTTAAAGGCCGCCAATATTTTTAAAGGCCGTTAAATATAAAGGAATTTTTACAGAATAGACCCTATTTCATTTTATTTGAATGGAATTTAAAAATCGTACTTCAAATCTAGTAATGATTAAATTTTATTAAAGATAGCTGGAAACCAATTTTTTTTAACTTTGAGGGAAAAAGTTGAAAGAAACTCAATAAAATTCTTGTTTAATTGCTTTGTTTTCTATTTTTTGAGTTTTAACGGGAATTGTTAAGATGCAACAATGTTTCTTTTTTAAAGTTGAAATATAGCAATAATATAATATTTATTGGAAGATTCACTTTTATGAAATTTAAATACAAATGGCTTAGAATTAAATTAAAAACTATAAATAAACTTTCCGTAATTTTCGGCTTATCACAATTACGTTGTAAAATTACAAATTTATGCAAAGTTTTGCAAAAAAATTACATGTTTGCCAGATAAAAGACTTAAGTGATTTATATTTTTAACCTTTAAGTCTAATTTCAAAGATAATATATATGCACGGCTTAGCAAGATTTTTCATGTTTTAATCAATTAAATTTGCTTAAATTATCTTTTTTTATTACATTTAATTAAATTAAAAATAAAATAATTATAAAAGTTGAAACTGAGGAATAAACTGAAGGTTGATCCAAAGGGAACTGGTCGCTCCTTATATGGCTTCGTGATTTATTTATTTTATTTTACGTCTTGGTCGCATTAGAGTTGAAATTATTTTTCTATTTCAAAAGTTGCTCGCCTGGATTATGGTTCTGCCTAGTTTTTGAACTGGATACTGCAAGCTAGCTTTTATTTTGCTTACTAAGAGCAGATGTCGTTACCATTTTTACTTTGTGTACCATCCATGTATGCCAGTGAATGTAACGCCTTCCTAATTCCATTAGAAACTGGACTTGAGAATATCTATTTCTTGCTGAAGAGTCCTAACAATCACTGTTAAAGTATTTTTTAACTTATCGACAGTTATATGTTGAATACGAGAGTGCCAAATCTTTTAATTTCGTGTCAACGTCAGGGGTTCCTCAGGGCTCGAATTTGGGCCCATTATTATTTGTTATTTTTATTAATGACATCTGTCATTGTATCAACTCTAAGAAACTTTTGTTTGCAGACGATATGAAAATTTATAGGAAAATGAAGGATACCTCAGATTGCATTGATCTTCAAAACGACCTTGTCAACTTTCATAACTGGTGTATTGTAAATAAACTATCTTTGAATACTAACAAATGCAAAGTCCTGTCCTTTTCCAGGAAAGTAAACACTGTCTTATATGATTATCAATTAGATAATCTTGTTATTCCCCGGACATATAATTACAGAGATTTAGGTATTGTTGGGGCGATGAGGGGGTTGTGTACTTTACCTTATCGCCTCTCTAGTTTGGCGGTCTAGCTATTGTAATTTTGAGCTAACCTTATGAATACTGCTTCTTCGTGGAGTGGACGGGTTACCTGGGTGTTGCAGCTGGACTGTAGTAATACACTTTCAAACATAAGCAGAACTTTGCTTATTCGAACATTATGAACTTGTTAATATATAAATGTAAATGTACATATCTTTTACAATTTAAAAAGTAAATGGTTCAAATTTGAGATGTCACCAAGGTGAATGCTAATGGCCATCTGCCGTTTTTTACAGCTAAAAATATATTTGTTGCATGTTTTCCCTTTCCACTCGATAACTGAATATTATTTAAATTTGATTGGTCTGGTCGATATGCAACCCATTTTACGTTAATGTGTATTATGAATAGTATACCCATTGTGTCTATAAGCCTTGAAATGCATTGTGAATAGTATACCCGTTGTGCCTTTAATAATTATTTGCTGGATTGAATTAGAGGTGGGCGCTGTTTTTTATGTGTAGAGGTGTTTGATGTCGTGAGTGTTCAAATGGTATTTTAACAGGTATCTTATTTGACAGCAAACTGACTTTTTCGGAACACATTGAAAACATTGTACAAAGTGCATCAAACATCTTGGGTTTTGTTATTAGAAACTGTAAAAAGTTTAAATCTTTAGAAGCCATCTTCTCTGTTTATTTTTCACCAGTTCGTAGCAAACTGGAGTATTGTAATTGTGTTTGGAATACTAATCATTTAAAGTACATAAGTGCATTAGAATCTATCCAAAGACAATTTTTAAAATTTATTTACTTTAAAAAACATGGCCGTTATCCTATTCGGCACTATGACTATAATTTATTGTTAGAAGAATTCAGTTTTGTGAGTCTGAGAAAAAGAAGAGAAATAGCAGATTTGATATTCATCTATAAATTAATTAATAATTCTATAGATACATCTTCTCTGCTGTCTCAATTTAATTTTCATATTCCACGTATTACGCCAAGGTCAAATATAACATTTTATTTTCAAGTGCCAAATTCACAACATCACTTTCACAGTCCTTTAACTACAATGTGTAGAAGTGTCAATCAGTAGTATTCTGTGGATATATTTTTTCTAAAATTTTACCAATTTAGAGAGCAATGTTACAGATTGGTATCAAATTAGGTAATTAGAATGTAATTTAGTTAAGTAAGTATTCTCAAACTTTGTATTTTTAAATATATAATACTCCTGTAATTAGGCTGATAAAGCCTGTTGGATGTATTAATATATAATTAAATAAACAAGGACGAAACTGGTTCAATAATGATATTCTTCGTAGTAAGCAAAATCAGAGTTGAAATAAAATTTCTATCTCTGCTGTCTTTCCTTTGGATATAATTCAATGCCTGTTGCGGTATTAGCCAAAGGAGTAGTTGTTTTCGAAAGGAAATGCTCGCTCGTATTTTATGTGACATATATTGAATTTATTTTAAACCTATATACCGTCATTTTTTAAAACTTGAATTGTTTTCCGTAATTCAACCAGTTTTTGAGATTTTTCGAAATAGAAAGTATTTTTTGAACTAATTTCTGCCTATTTAGCTTTTTCATCTATATTATAATAAATTTCTGTTATTTTTAAACTATTTAGAGTCATTTTTTAAAACTTGAAATTCATAACGTTTGTTTTTCGTAATTCAACCAGTTTTTGAGATTTCCGAAATAGAAATATTTTTGGACTAATCTATATTATAATAAATTTCTGTTCGTCTTATTTATTTTATTTTACGTCTTAGTCGCATTTGAGTATTTTCCTTTATTAAAATCGAATTAAACCAGAAAAGGGAATGGCCAGTTTTGCCCCATCCCCCAATAGGAGTAAGATATATGCCAAATGAAAGATATTGGTTAGGAGAAAATTTGTTTTTATTATGCCTTCTCTCAATTATCTATCCGCTCTATCCGTTCATACTACAAGTGACACATAAACGTTCTTTGCTCGAATATAATAAATATTTTTGAGCACTTTAATAATTATTGTACCTACTAATATTTATTTCAATAAGTTTATTTCACATTGACAATGAAACTAGGGGGCAAACGGCCCCAATTGATCCCTCCCCCTTCTGGACGTCCATTTCCACCGGTTTGTGTGGAATCTCTATCCAGTAGGTCCTCCGTTCATGCTTAACCCACCTTCAAACCTAAAAAACTCACTAAATAACAAAATCTTAATATTTTATTAACTGCAATTAAGTATCACCGTTGCTGCTGGCGCGTATGTACTTCATCAAGTAGTCTGTTACCTGATGTTGTATGTGTGATGACGTTGTTATGTTGGGAACTGCGACCTACAAAATCTATTGTGCCCCCTTCTGTCGCTAATGCAGCCAGGAAATGTCTTGGTACCTATAACGACCCTTTCAATCTTATCAAGGATTCAGGAGTGCTCCTTACAAAATTTGCACTATTACTCTCATTTTACTGGTGCCCTTTGAGTCAGCAATGTCTGCTGAATTCAGTTATGCAGAAACTGTTGACAGTTGACATAACAACAATTGTGATGGTAATTAGTAAACAAAAACCCAAATCCCATGGTGAGGAAATGCGAAGTTGCCAAGTTATACCTAGATGATTTAATTTTCACTTTATTTTAGCTGAAATCTGTTATGGCGAAACTGTTACCATGGGAACGTTTGCCACGGTAACGACTAAACAAAAACTCAAATCCCGTGGTGAGCAAATGAATAGTTATTGAGAGATTGAGGATTTAATTCAACGTTAGTATAGCTGAAATCAGTTAGGAAGAAACGATTACCATGGGAACGCTTATCATGATAACAGCCAAAACAAAAACCAAATCCCTTAGTGAGGAAATGCATATTTGCCAAGTTATAGATGATCTAATGTTAATACTTTGGTAGATAGAAACTTTTTGAGGCACACTGAAAATTCCATAATATTTTTAAATTATAGCTCCAATAGATCATCTTTCTATATAAAAGTAATTTTTTAAAAACGTATGACGCGTATAGAATGCCCAGCCCTGTATGAATTACAAATGGTTTTATATTCGTTCTAATATAACTGCAGTATTAATAATTATGATTTTATTATTTTTTTATTTATAACCTTTGTCTCGGCCATTGGACCCGTTTCTTTGGAGGGCATACATGGTGCCGTGTAGTCATCACTTGAGACCCTTTGGTAAGCGGATACAATCCTCGACTTCATAATATGACATACTTGGAGATTATAATTGTTCTTATATTTTTAAGATGTAATAATTACTATTATTTGCCTGTAATAAGCACTACAATAATAGAATATAAGCACTGGCCTACCATGTAATTAGTTACATTTAAGATGGATATAACTCGAAATGGACAAGTAATCGAGATGTCATAATGAAAACAAATGTTCTCCTTAAAAAGATCTTTTAATTGGTATATATAACTTATCCTTATTGAGGGTGGAGCGATTTCCTATACATTTCTGCCTATTGTCCTTTGATATATTTAAAATAGGGATAAGCGGAGCAGTGTATTTGTAGGAACGGGTACAAACTGTTCCGGTTCAAAAAAAAGACCTGTTCCAAAAATCCTGCTCCAGCTCCAAACTATTTCGCAATCCAACGTCTTGTCAGAATGGCAAAAATGGCCGATGTTCGGCAAAAACAACGTAGTTTGTTGACCTGACTTTTTCATTAGTATTTGACTGTTATTGTAAATCATAAAATTAATATTCATAAATTCTTAATACACAAGAATTTATGCCATTTTTCAACTAAACAAAAAGAAAAAAACTCTAAACACTTCAAAAAAATAATACACAGACTAATAAACTATGTAGAAGTGTTTTTGTCACGAAATACTGACTGCTGTTTTTGTTTCCACCATTTAACTCTGGTGATTTGGATTGCCCAATTATTTTTATAACCAAAATGCAGCAATACAAATTGATAATAAAAACAGTGTTCTTGTTCTCTGTTCCTTCTTTTTTCGATTAACCCCTACAGCTATTAACTATTTGGACGGATTGAGATAGAATAAAGAGGAGACGATTTTAAAAGTGTCCGTCCTTTTGCATTACACTTTTATGTCATGTGTCAAACTCGAAATAGTGGAGCTAGTCAGTTTTGGTGAGAATAAATGCCATAAAAAGCTTTATTTAAATGATATGAAACCTGTTCCGACTTGTTCTGAGTTAAAAATTGTTCCGAAATGAACAGATCTCCGAAAGGCCATCCCTAAATGTTAAAATAGAGATGGGAACTCATGTTCTTTCCAAAGATCTAGTTCCCTAGAATTAGTTTGCGAACGAACTTGTATTTTAACCGATAGCTAGTTCATTAGTACATTCAGTAATGTAGAGAAAAAATTCGTTTCATTTCAATGGTTCGGTTAGGTGGTTTAGTGTAAAGAACATTTTTTTTAATGTTTTTGAGTTTACTTGTAATTGAACTGAACTAAATCAATACTAAATCTTTCAGACTTGATACGATACCCGAACGGAACCATTACAATACCTATCAAAGAGCGACCCGACGTTCGTACATCATGTTCGTTGTCGTTTTTTTGTTTTTTTTTTCTCAAAACATTATCTTTTTAACAACACTTCAAGTGCTGCAGCTGAAATTCGAGTCGAATAAATTAGTGAACTCATTCAGTTAAAACATTCAAAGTAGTTTATTAATTTAGTTTGCATAAAAGAACGCTTCATTTTAATAGTTCATTGGCGAACTACCCAACCCATCTCTAATTGAAAATTTGTTTATATTGATTTTTCATAATTTTGAAGATTATTAACGTTTTTGCTCCTCAAACTAGCTCAAAATGCTACTATTTAACATTTTAGGTTTTTCAGATATTAAAAGCCTCCTTAGTTTAACTTGGTCGGTTTTACTAGTCTCTTGCTCTCTTTTTTGATTATAATAAGCATTTCAATTTTTCTTCTCAGTATACACAAATGAGAAAACCCGTGGACAGGGACACAATATCGCAGATGAGCCAGGAATCTAGCGATTCCAGGGAACCCCCTATGTCTATACCTGCAAGTGAAATAAGACGAAGATTATCTGATTTCTTTCACGAGGAAAAAAGCAAACAATTTACACACGATCCCGAAGATCCTTCAGCCGCGGTACTGAAAGAACCTTGGCAGGTAATTTAAAGTTTGAATCTATCTATATGTACCTACATAATAATCCTAATTCAATCGTCATTAAACTTCATTGCCCATTAGCCTTTGCTTTCACTCTGAACTGACCATTATTTTTTTTTAACTTTTGTACATTCTGCTTACATCAAACTCAACGGGATTGCTCCCATAATAAAAAATCCATCTTTTTTTGAAGGATAAAGAACAGAGGATACGCGAAAGCTCTCCATATGGTTACTTATCGTCTTGGAGGTTACTTTCTGTTATTGTAAAATGCGGAGACGATTTGCGACAAGAATTGATGGCTTCCCAAATTTTGGAAACGTTTCAAAAAATCTGGGAATTGGAACACGTTCCACTTTGGCTACATCCGTACAGGTAGGGAAGAGAAATTAAAACAAATTTAATAGTTTATATGTTTCAACGTTCTTGTTTCCAGAATTTTGTGTTTGTCGGACGACAGCGGACTGATCGAGCCAATTTTGAATACCGTTTCCCTACATCAAGTGAAGAAACATTGTCAGCTTTCCCTATTGGAGTATTTCATTAATGAATTCGGACCCATGACGTCTGAAGGGTTTTTAACTGCTCAGAAGAATTTCGTGCAGAGCTGCGCTGCTTATTGTCTTATTTGCTATCTTGTTCAAGTCAAAGACAGGTTAGTACTGTCAACTCTGTTCTAAGGCAACGTGGTTTTTATTTTAGTTAATGTTAATACAGTCTTAGCTGAACATTTTACAGAACAGATCTCGTAATTGAAGTTGTTGTCGTTTTCAGGCACAATGGAAATATTCTGTTGCAAAGCGATGGCCATCTGATCCATATCGATTTTGGTTTTATTTTATCAACGTCTCCCAAGAACCTCGGTTTCGAAAAGTCGCCGTTCAAGTTGACTCCTGAATTCGTGGAAATCATGGGCGGTGAGAATTCAGACATGTTTGAATATTTCAAAATCTTGATTTTACAAGGACTGATCGCTGCTAGGAAACACCATGCAATGATCGTCACATTGGTGGAGATTATGAGATCAGGTATGTTTTGATACTTTTATAATTAATTATTTATGTTTATTCAGTTATTTGAGGGTTATGCGAATTATAAAAAAATTCTAATGTGGTTTAATACTGATTTTAATGTATATATTGAAACTCTGAGAATATTTAAATAATAAATCTGGAAGGAACATAATAAATATTTAAACAAAATTGAGGAAAATACAATTGAGGATGTGAACAACTTTTGGAATTGTCAATAATTCCAGTATCTAACAAATATGCTGCCGAAAAATATTTTACGTTCCTCCATTCCTCTGAAAAATCTGCATTCGTTCGGTGGGTGACAGCAGCGCCAACCAAAGTATGAACTAAATGCGATATTAGGTATATTGACAGTATCATTTTTAATAGAATTCGTAATTAAAGAATATATTTTTTATTTAGTTTTAATAAAAGTATATGGATTTGTAAAACAAGTGAAAAGTTTCGTTTATTATATATTTTTATTACTTCAGGTAAAAAAGTAAATATATTCAATAAAAAAAAAAAATTAAAACAAGTGCGTGGAATAGGTAATTAGGCAACAGTATTTACGAGAAAGTGTATGAAAAGTTGCCTAATGAGGTTAAAGGTTAATGGAATCAAAATTTATTCACAATAAAATAGTTTTATAGGTAAATTGTGTATGTAAATTTTCGAATATAATTTATACTTGTTTTCTTCTTTTTTAGTTTGAAAAAAAGCATGAAATTAATTATTAAAACTGGTTTCCAATAAAATAGTCACAAAATTGAATTCCAGATACCAACAATAATATAAGACATAAATCTATCCTTTCTGAACATGTACCTAAGGGATTTTGAAAATGTAGTCCATTAAAAGTAAAACGTAATTTCAATTTTAACTGGATAATGTAACTTTTAAACTCTACAGGGTGTTACAAATTTTATATATATAAAAAAACGCTATAATTGCTACACCCGGTATTTATAGCAAAGGGTTTCATGCTAATACAGTTTGCACACCAACATACTGGAAGAGACAAAACCTATCATTAAAAAAGGTGGTTTTGACAAAAATGTATCTGGAACTTTTGGCTACTTTTTGGTGGTGTGTTTTCTTAGGGAAGTGTACATGTTTTATATTAAAAACTAATTGTCATATCTACAAACTCGACTGTATTTTTAAACAGAATTGCCGTATCTGAACTATTTAGCGTTATTAGATACTACTTTTCTGCTTAGAACTTGCATATAAAAACCAGTTTTTTATAACTGAGTGATTCACAAACATTTTTTTAAGTAGCCAAGTAGATTGACAAAGACAGAGCTAACATTTAAAAAAGAAGAAGAGTTGTATCTTCAGATATACATTATTTTTTCCATTGCCTTCTTTAGGAACCTTCATATTTATTTAATATTAACACGTTCGCTGCCGTGTGTATCATTTACGATACACCGGGTAGTGCTTACCACAGGCCAGGTGTATCCTAAATGATACACCGGTTATTATGGCTTCAAAACAGCGGTGTATTAATTTGAATACACCGCCCATAAAAAATACATTCGCTTAGGGTTTCTGTGGCCTGGGAGGGTGTTATGAGGACCAATGTATGGGTATAAAATACATATAAACTTGAAGTAATATGTTTATTTAAGCAAATGAAAGTGCTTATATCAATGCAAAAATAAAAACCATAGCTACAAAATACTAAATTTAAAAATTAATGGCAACTGATGAAACATTCCCTGCAAAAAATGGATTGCGGTCGCACTGATTGGAGACGGTTTTTACCTGTGCTGCCAGCCTTTTTTTGCCATCTACCATCTTACCGTGCTTCCCAAATTTTTTATAGCATTCGTTGCATCGACCTCTTTTATTCTGGCCATGTTGAACCAGATGATGGATTTTTCTCTTGGCTTCTATTTCGACCGTTTAAAATTTTTAAAATACCATAATGTGTGAAGGTGATACCTTCACACATTGAAACAAAAAGATGGGGTTTATGGTATTTTAAAAATTTTAATCTGTTTGTAATCGTCCCCATGTGTTTTTTTAATGTTTTTAAATTTTGACTGCACCCGAAGATGGAAACGAAGTTTTCCGAAACATGTAGTGCGGTGCTAACGATATTAAATAAAATTAATGACCGAATACACCAAATAAATTTTTATTTATATAAGATTTGAATATGTTATTTTCTGGAAAACTTTAAGGGAAAACAATATTAGTGCTGTCATGCCTTACGTGATTTTTTTAATATAAAATGAATTTTTTTAACCACTTTGCTCAGGATTGAGATTTGGTAAAGTACAATGTGTTTACATGCTTTTGGGGTATATTTTATTTCGGTATTAGATGGGGTTGAAAATTTGCAGTGGGCTCTTGGGCTATTATGATTTGATTCTGTATGCGCCAGGGATACAAATCCAACTTGCGCAATGTATAAACTGGAACATTGAGATCAAAAGTGCCGACACAGAGTAAGCGAACTGATTCTTTAGCTATAAACTGTGGCTAGAGTATGGAAATGGAAAATGATTTTTTCTACGATCACTATCCAAAGTAGGCTTTTGTACATTCAAATTTCAAATCTAACTAGAAAGTTGAAGTTTTCCGCGAATTGTCATAATTTGACATTATTAGCGCACGCTTGTCTATTTTTATTTGAATTAATAGTATTTTACGTAACAAGAGTTGTAAGTAACCGATTACGCACGAAGTGGAAAAGTTTCGCGAGTGCGTAATGGGCTTACAACTCGTGTAACGTACTATACTTTTTCTAAGCCTACTTATTTTCTTCTATTAAATAAAAAACATATTCTTGTGTCGCCAATCCATAAATTTTCGATAGGTAATTTCGTACCTTTTTTTGGATTTTAGCGGTAACAAATTATGTGTGGCAGCTTGAGCTTTTTCTAAAATCTTTGGTTGAGTGCTCATAATTTCATCACTTTCACTACTAACAGATATATTCATAGGTAAAGTTAAGAAAATGTTTGAATTCAATATTTTATATAATGTATTGCCGACATTTAGGGGCATCACTTTTCTAATCCAAAATATATCTCGCTAATTCTAAAAGTTTTTATGTTTTTAAATTGACTAAATTTATGTAAATAAACTAAATAAAGTCTTACGTAGATAAAAATTTGATTGCAATTTGATTAAACTAAGAAATTTAAGTTTCCTTTTCAAAACGCACGTGTATGTTATGAGATCTCATTAAAATATCATTTACACGGAATGTTGACAGTGCGATTTTTAACGTTTACTGACATGGGCGTAGAAAAAAGAAAACTAATGGGTATTTTAAAACAATGTAGATTAATCTAAAATATTTTAATTGACTTCCTAATATTTTAAATAATCCAACAGTATTTCCCATAAATAATTAAATCATAAAATCATAAATTATTATGGACTAAAACATTTTTTCTCTTCAATGTCAAAACTTACAATATTATAACGAAAGAAGGTAACCCATTTTTAATAAATAAAATAATTTATTTTATTTTGTTGTGATCGTAAAAAAAATCGTGTGTGTAAGTCGAGCAGAAAGTCCTTTGGCAAATTCGACAGATTGCAACTTACTGTCTCAACTTTTGAAGTGCTACTTTCTGCTTTTATTACCCAAATAGTTATTCTATCTCTGCTCTCTTCCTACTGGTATAATGCAACGCCTGTTGTGGTATTAGCCATGGGAGCAGTTGTTTTCATGAGGGAAAGGGTCAATTTTTGCTGTGACACGGACTTTGAAGGTTTTTCTTTCCCTTTTATTTATTTTTTTAAATAAATATTTGTTTGCAGGATCTCAACTGCCATGTTTCAAGTCTGGAGCGTCGACTGTACAGAACCTGAAGAACCGCTTCCACATGAACATGACAGAGGAACAGCTTCGCCTAGAAGTGAACCGCTTAGTCGAAGGGAGCATCCATTCCCTGTCGACCAAACTCTACGACGGCTTCCAATACTTCACGAATGGCATTCTTTAACCATGGCCGGGTTATTCCTCTTGTTTAAGCGGTTTTTGTTATTAGAATAGGATACAAACTTGGGTGTCAGTCGCTAGAAAATATTAACATGGAAACTCGGTTTTATTTTGTTGTTTTTGTATAAGTGTATTTTTTGATTCTAAGCTGAAAAAAAAAAATTTTATCTGAATTTTTATGATTTATTTTCGTTCTGAAGTTTCCTCTTACATAAGAGGTTCAGAACTTGTCTTATTTTAAATGTATTTTTGACGTGTTAAAAGGACCTTTTTTTATCATCAATTTTTATAAAATAAGGATTTTTAAATACACCTCAGTTTTATTATGTATGGAGGTTATGAACATTTGATTAAATTATGTTTCAGTTGCCTTAAATGCAATATTTAATAACAAGTAACATCCCATTTATCAAACGCAGTTGAATATTCCTGTTTTCAAGTTTGTGGGGATGTTTTAAGAAGGCTTAAACTTTTAAATTCAAATTGAACAAAATGCCAAGAAAAAATATCAAGTTCTTTAAAAACGTCTATCTATAAATAAGTCTGCCAAGTCGGAAGAGTTTAAAGTTTTAACTAAAACTACCTACATATGTAAAACTCATTTAAAATAAGACAATTATATCACTATTTGGATGAAATAACAGTTTATTAAAAATTACTGAGTTACAATATATTGATTACTATGTTCTAATGGCTGGTGTGCCTGTACAGAGTATCGTTTTTTGGGTCATAAATGTTGACCACCTTAAATCATTCTATTACTGTTGAAATGCTCAAAGTTTAAAACACCATTCTTCGTAACGCATGGAAATGAGCGGAACAGTGAGTTTTTTTATAGATAATGAATTGTTAATGGATATTAATATGTAAGAGAGAGAGGGGGCTCTTCCTTTTAGATTTTATTAATTAAAGATACTTTACCTTCTCCACGTGCTGCATGTACATACATTTTTAATATATAGTGTATATTTTACTTATTATAAGTGCATAAAAATACTCAAGTCAATTTTTCATACTAAATACAAGAAACTCTACGAGGCCAAATATGTAAGAAAGTGACGTTTTTTATGTATTTTATTTTGTTAAATATAATTTTAAAATATATATATTTATTTGTACTTTAATTATAAGAATATTCATAATAATTGTCGTGGTTATCTTATATGAGATTTATTGATATTAAAAAAAATTATATAAAACATTCCAAAAAAAAAGAAGAAAATAATTTTTTATTTTTAAATTCCTTTCATCTTTCATTCAGGTTGTTTTATTCACCGATTTATGTCTTCGTAGAAGCCTTATAATTTGCTGAATTGAATTGATACAAGGTGATTCAAAAGTAAGTTATTTTGTATTATTAGTCCCACTAAAGGTTAGATATTCAGGAGACTGTTAGCTATACAGATTTGGTTAAATGGGTTAAAAGTTGTCTATTGAGTAGGACAATAATATGTCGTGACAAAATTCCTTTAGTTTATTTTAATTTACCGCCATACCAAATAGAGTGTGTTTCATTACTAATGTGACAATAATACGTCAAATATTTTGAAACTACTGGGCACAAATAATTTTTATATTTTTAAATAAAACACCATGTAACTCGGATAGGAGACACATTTTATCTAGGTGATTTTGATTAAATCTTCATATTTTGAGCTCAGAATTATATAGTTGATTGAAATATTTCCATTTAGTAATGAAACACCCTGTATAAAATATATTTTTTTCTTTCTTTTGTTATTACTTAAAATTTATTACACGATTCGTTTTTGTGAAATTACCTTCAGATCCGAATATTTTAAACGTGGAACTGGAATTTTTATTCAAAATTTGTACACTATGCTGAATACATTAACCCGTAAAGCATTTTACCGATTAAAACATCAAATTTTGAATCACCCTGTTTATTAACTGCACGTAAATTATTTCGATTGAACAATAATGAATTTTCTTTTTAGTTAAGCAAGAAAATGTAAGGAATGTAGAAAATTTCAAGTTAATAAAATTTATTGTACAGTCGTCTATCTTGATAATTAAATATAATAAAGAAAGTGTAAATAATCGTATAATAACCAAATCATTAGAAGAATTTTTAGGTATAATAAAAGTGTTATCCATCCATTTTTTAAAGAAAAATTAAAAATATAGGTTGTTACTTCAAATAAGTAGAAAATTGAAATTCTTTCGTATTAGTCAGCATAACTTTTTGTAGGGTTTAAGTGTAATCTCAAATTAAACTAATAAGCATTATTATTGTACTTTTTTTTAAACTAAAATGTAATTAAAGTTGGCTGATTACAAACTTTTTTGAGTGTTATGAAAAAACTATTACCACAGTATAATTCATCCAAAAATTAATTATGATTACATTTACCCTACTTTGAACCATCTTAGTTAATAATAAAAATCGTTATTATTCTAAAAAAATCTGACTGAACTTTATTGGGTTTTCCATAATTGATATGTCAAATATTATAGACACATTTTCTTAAGTTTCATAAATGTATAGTAGTAATTTTGTAACAATAGTACATTTATACAAAAAGTCTGTGCTAAGGGTGCGACAGAGAAGGCATTAGAAACTCTTGATCTTCCTGCTTGGGTATCAACCTTCCTTTTCATAGATTTCTGTCGTCAGCTTTGTATCCCTTGAAAATAAGAAGTGATCCACAAAAAATGCAATTTTTCTTCTTAAGTGTCAGTTTGGATTTAATTGAGAGCCGCGCGTGTACTAATCACAGACATGACTCGTATCTGTTGTATTGGCGGTCATGGCCTACTTTAGAAACATTTTTTGTGAATCACTCTTTAATTATGTTCTCCCTGTAGTATGCATAGATAGAATATTTTCGTACCTTTATTTCTTATATGATTGGTTCAAGATATTTTAGGCAGAAGGTACAATAAATGTACTGATTTTCCCAAAATGAACGGCAACAATGTACTGCGCTAGAAGACGAGTTGATTCTTAAATTTCCCATTGCGTTCTTTGTCGCTCTCATTGTCTAGGATGTTCGGAAATTGATGTTTCAATTTCCATACCTGCGTATTTGTTTTGATAAATTTAAATCCTAGAAACTATTATGCTTTGTGTTACAAAATTGCCATTGTCAAACAGATAAAAAGTATTGATACTCAACAGAATGTGGATTCTCAAAATATATTCATAGCCAAAAGTCTTGGACACCATGTTTCTAAAGTAAGTCGATATACAAAGACAGTGGTGTGAGTCAGGTCAGCGATAACTACAAAGGCCTCTGAATTAAATTCAAACTCTCATTTTAAAAAGAAGAATTTTATGCTCTGACATACGTTCTATTTTTCATGGCCTATTTTAGAAACGTTTCCATAACTGTTTCATACATTAGTTTTAATAAAATGTACTAACCTCCTACATTTAGGGCGTCTAAGACTGTTGGCGATGTATATATTTCTGTTAACTACTGGAACAAATTAATTTAGCTAATAGTAACAGTATTTTAGGTGATTCTTATGGCGACGAAATTATTTTTATCCTACAATAAATCATTGTTTTGTGTAGTAAAAGTACTGTACCTCAAAACTTCATACAATAAAGAAGGTTTTTTTTAAATAATTCCATTCGTCCTGAAGAATCATCCTCTCGTATAAACTATTTTGATACAAAGTAGTTCCAAGAGAAGAATTTTAAGTTTAAGGATATTAAATATCTCGTACAGCATTATTCTAGACAATTTTTTTATATTCCCGCAGGTGTACAATGGATGGCCCTGTAAATTTAAAATGCAAAAAGACTGATGTCATAGTAGACTTTTTGCAGCTTTATCGTCGTATTAATCTAATTTATCTTATTTGTTGCCAACATTGCAATCAAAGTTTTCTCTTTTGCGGCTTGTTTTAGCAACATTTCATTACATTTTCAGTATAAAGTCTACAATTTATTACAAGAGTTTTAATATACAAGTGTATTTTATTATACATATAAATTGTATTTAACATTAATATACAATCAATTAATAAAATGCTTGTTATTTTCCAATCCTTTTTATTACTATTCTCCTATTACATAATGCAGAAAGCTAACATCTATCTATATCATTGACACGATAGCCCACCAGCATCTAAATTATAATGTACAACAAATAAGTTACTGTTACTGCTATTATGTCGACCAACGACGCGCAACTTGTGACATGCTTCTGGTTCACCTACAGTGAATCAGGGAGTCTGTGTGACGCTAAGATGGTAATTTCAGAATAGGGGTTGCTCGGGCGCCAGTTTTGGCAACACAGTTTGTTCTGCGACCCTGTAGTACACCAGAGTGTACTCAAGATAAAAATATTTCCAGGCGATCACTGCTAACGAGGTAGCCACTAAACTAGAATTAAAAACACTTATCTCCTGTACCCTACGGCACCCTGAAAGAAAACGCTTAAGAACCAGCAACAAGAGAAACACAGGAGTAAATAATAAAATATATTTACAAAAAAAAAACAACAGGTAGTGCACGGTATCGGCACGCTTGTATACCGGAAATAAATTCTTAGTGATCAAAATTATATACAAGAATTGAAAATTACAAGATTCCCTGTATATGGAAAATAAATAAAATTAAATATTACAACTGAAAGATAAAGGAAAACAATTGTGGTTTCCCCCTGTATACGGAAAATAAATAAATAAAATTATTACAATTGAAAGCTAAAGAAACATAATTATGGTTCCTCTTGTATACGGAAAATAAATAAAAAAATTAATTATTACAACTAAATGCTACAGGAAAACAATTGCGGTTTTCCCATGTATACGAAAAATAAATAAAATTAATTATTACAACTAAAAGCTACAGGAAAATAATTGCGGTTTCCTCCTGTATACGGAAAATAAATAAAATTAATTATTACAACTAAAATCTATAGGAAAATAATTGCAGTTCTTCCCTGTATACGGAAAATCAATATAATTAATTATTACAATTGAATAAAATTAAATTCTTCCTCGAAAGCAAGTTAAAATAAGTATAGCAGTTCGATAGCACAGGAGGCTAATCGGTCCGGAAATTATGAAGCTCTCTGTATACAGAAAATGAATTTTTAGTAATAAAAATTAATTAAGTATGACGGTAATAGAATATAAGAAAACAATTGAAATAAAAGTTATAGAACGCCCTGTATATACAAAAAAATTAATTTTAAATAAACTTAATAATAAATAAGACTAAAATTTCCACTAAATGATATTAAATAATACCGGAAACTATTCAAACCGGAAATTATGTACATTACGGTATACAGAAAATATATTTTCCCAATAAATTAAATTAAATATTCTGATCAAAATGATAAACGGTAATTAATTAAAACGGCAATTCGGAGTGGGAGATACCACCACTATAGCACAAGTAGAAGTTGGAAAGGCTTTTGGTAGGTAGAGAGGGGGTAAACGTCAAATCACGTCGGACGGCTTCGTGAATTTCGCAGTAATGTTTACCTGCCAGTTTCGTTTCATAGAATAAGTAATTTTAAATTTTTACCGGCGGAACCGGACAATCGCATGTATTTATGGACTATAAATAACTATTAAACATGTATTTTAACAGCTATTCACAATTTATTAAACTATTTACTCGAAATTGTTATTAACATCTATAAAATAATTTTGTACGCCAATGTATCGCGTCCACTTCGGTTAGATCCGCCGAAAACCTGTCAATTTATGTGTATAAAGTGGGAGAACTGGCAGAAGCCTTTCCAACTTCTATTGTGCTATACATCCGAATGTTTACTGTTTCAAAATGAAAAAAATGCCCTGCTAGCACCTTGATAAATACAAGTAGATGTACGAAATTGAATCTACAAATGCCCATTCGGATTTCGGCAAATATGGAAATGTTTTAACCTACGAGGGTACTCTCAATTATTTAAAAACGGGAATTCCTGGGAAACACAAATACGGGGGATCTTCTACATGTCTTTAGACAGGAATTAATTAAAATATACATTTTTAAAATTAATTAAATATCAAATTTAGTGACTTCGACACAAACTATAATAGACCAATTTTGTTTAAAAATCGGATTATTGCAAACATTTGCGATATTATCCACGTAGTTGCAAAATTATTTCGACAGAGTATAAAATATGCTAACTTTTCCGTCCTGTTTCCAGGAGAATGGTATAGAACCACAATGCCATTGAATTAGAAATAGAATAATACCGTCGATAAGTGGGGACCGCAATATATCATGCTTGCAATCGAAAGAGTGGTTAAACCAATTTCTCTCTTTGTCGCACTTACGTCCAAATATAATTGAGCGTGTCGCGTATTTTGCCTGGTGCATCGTGTTAACATACTGTATACAAGGATTGTTGATGGTTATAATTTGGAGTTTACTCAACATAAGGCTCTAAAATGCATAAAAGATTTTCAAAATTAAATTAAGGAAGTACTTTATATCTTATTAGTTTATTATCAGTTCAATATATTTTTCTGGTTGCATCTATTATTGTAGCTGAAGGGGATTTAAGGAAAGTACATCATTTATTTTACAGTGTAACAACTGTGAAAAGCAGAAGGCATATTTGTACAAGTTTATTCATTCATAAAACAGGCGTTCGCACAAAATATCACTATTTAATTTAGTAGGCGTCTCGCTCTTTCTAATGCGACAGCTGAGGCTAACATAAACATAAATACTTGTAAGTAAACAAAAGCCTAATATTGTGAAATAACTCACAAAGAGAACTCAAAGTACTGATAGCGTTTATTGAGTAGGAGGTGCATGATGTCTTCCGTATACGCAGGTAGATTCACAAAAAACTTTGTCAAGTCTCCTTGGTCGGATGTGAATTTATTCAGCACTCCATATGTGTTAATGGATTACTGCAGTAGTTTTTCTTCAGATACTATATATATGCATAATTAAAGAATATTCAGATTGCTGTGAAATTCGAACCACCTCGTCGTCATTTCCACTAAAGGCCAGTAACTGATTACTTGGTATCCACGGATTGGGCTATCAAGCTTATTTATCAATCAATTTAATTTACATTTGGAGTAAGAGGAGCTCGAATTTCCGAAAACGACTTGTGTCCTGTCAAGTGGAGCACGTGAATGTCAGATGTCAACTTTGGGTTGACTTTGACAGAAGACAAAACCTGTCAGTCAGTATAATTTTTGTGAATTTGATGTTGGTTTTTTTTTGGTCTGTGTGTGTACATTTGTAATATCGAATTTCGGAAATGTTATCTAAAGTAAAGAGATTACTGTTGGAAACTAAATTCAAAACAGTCAATTAATGATTACAGTGTAAACAAGTTCATAAATAGTATGTAGTTTACTGTTGTTATTTAAAAGATTATTTTACTTTTATTCGGTTTCAAGTAGAAAGTTTTGCGGTATCTTAAAAAACAATTTTTTGTCGTTGGCGTAGAAAAGAGAACAGACCAAGCATGCCGAATATTGCAAAATGAAAACAAATTTGTCTTCGTCAAATATTCCAGCATATGAAAAACAGTCGAGCAATAACGGTGAAAACAAGTAAGTAGATAAATGTATTGTTATTTTGTGCTTGACTTGCTTTTTTATAGATCTGTTAGCCCATCTTCCAGTCCTAAAAGCAGCCCTAGGCCTTCACCCAAACCTCAAACCAAAAGAGATCATTCTAAATCTGATACTCATTTAAGTGTCAATTATAAACAACAAACTTCTTCACATGATGGATCACCTTCAGTAAGTACCTACAAATTCTTAAGTCAACAAAGTTATGTAATTATTTGTCATTACTGCTATGAACCTAGGTAGGTAATTATATATAATTATTACAATAACATGCATTGTACTGTGTTACCACAGAACAAAAAATAAAATTGTAGATTATAAAACGCCAACTCAATAAAAAAATGGTTAAATAATTTTTAATGAGTTTTAGGTTTTAACTAGCACATCATTATTCTGTATTCAAATTGCACTCGCCCTAATAAAATGCCAACCTAGTGTGCTCTACACCCATGCAGTGCATAAATTACACTTGCTTCATGTATGGCATTATTATTTTGAATTTTCTTTAAATATGTAAATAAAATATTGATTTCTATTTGTTTATGGTATTTTTAAATTTATTTTAGTCAATTGACAAATAAAAATTAACTGGTCCAATCCACAACACTGCCTTTTGGCGTAAATCTGTCTTATCTGCAATAAATGTGCAAAAAATTAAAAAATAAAATTACAGAAACAAAATTAAATTAACATCTAGTCATATAAAACTACAAAAAGTGTATTATTTATTATAATAGAAAATTAAAGACTATAGAAAAATTAAGTTAATATTAGAACATATAAAACTACAAAAACCTTTTTTTTTTTAATAAGAAAATTATAGGCTACACCAAAATTGGATAAAAAAACACTGGTAAGAGCAACACACATTCTGAAGATCTCTAATGAAAGTGAAGACAATGCTCTCCTTGAAACTTAACAGCTGTGGCAAGGATAATATTTTATTACATAGCCACTGGCTGCCACATACACTTTCCAATCTTGTTGGCATGGACAAAATTAAATTTCTCGTCATAGGAATGTAGGAGATCTTTCCAAGCATTTTCAATAATTTCACATAGTAGATCGGGGTTTACAAGCCTAAAGCCTCTTTAATACATATTTTTGACTCTGAGGTCCCATATGTTTTAAATAAAAATAAATTATTATAAACATATTGAACAGTAAAATTGTAAGGAAAAACTTCTCTTACTGATGGTAGATAAATGTTTATTTAATTTTCGACTGTTAATCGCCCATCAATTTACCAGCACATTCCAAGACCGTTAACGCTTTTCACGCCCAAAGATTGATGCAAAAGAGCCCTCTATTAGTACTACCCAAAGTATAATTCTCTTTGAATTGTGAGTTTCTAGGAAGATAAACATGTAGCCTTCTGCTCTTAGAAGATTGGAAAGTCTTTTCATTGGAGAATAGCATGTTCCAAAATTCTTCCTGTGGAGATAACAGAAAATTTTTTAAGGTGACTTCTTTTAAACACATTTGAGATGTTCTGAGAAATCCTAGGAATAATATGTTTCTTTGTGTGCTTTGGCAGCAGTCTGGAAGGTTTTCGCTTTGTCCCTCTTGCCAGTATTTCTTAACATAAAAGATGCACCTTTGATTCAGCAGCTATTTCACTTAGGCCCATATTTATAAACTGATCTCCGCTGAGTCAGACTTGACTTTTGAATCTCAGTTAAATCCTGAAAATTTATTTGATAATACTTTTAAAGAGCTGTCAAATTTGAATGCGACAAACGACTATGATGCAAAGTCTAAATCACACCATTAAATTTTGGTCTTCAAATTTTGGTTTCGTCATCTGTACATGCACATGTTTACCTTTTTTACTGAAATATATTTTTTTTTTTTCAATTTAGTTCAGATTATTTACTAAAAATAGGAAAACTCTTCTAACTTTAGTTATAAGTACTTCAAATGGAGATACTTAATATTAAAAATTATACTGATTAGTGAAGATCAATATTTAAAAATTTGAATCTTGTAGAGCTATATCACTTTTTGTTATGTGAGAACATAACACCACAAAACTGGTAGTATCTTTCAAAAATTTCCTACATTTAATTTTGATCTACTAATTATACATACACATATAAAACAAGTTTTTTCAAACTTGCAAAAACTTGACCTTGATGCGAAAAAAATAATAGTTACGAAATGTCTATACTACACTGGTTCTAATGGAAACAAGCTCAAAAATTGTTTGTAAACAAAATTATATTTGTCTTGATTCCTTTGTTATTTTTTTCATTGTATTCCATAAAAATAGTTACTTTCCTTGTATTAAAAAATATATATTCTTTTAACTTTGCTAAATACCTAAATAATTAGGTGAATGAAATAGATGAGTACATCAGTGCATAAACTATTTTTTTAATAAAATTTTGCTCATAACTTTCAGACAAAAGTTATCATCAAAGCCTTCATCATGTAGATACCTTCCACAGAAAAAAAGTCATAATAATTTTAATGATCAAATCATTATTTAAAATGTATTTTTTATTAATCATGTGTTACTATTTTTTGTGTAACATTTTCATATCAATTACCTAAAAGCTTAGATCAAAGCAACATCAACAACTCATTATATAAAATTGTATTTAGAAGAAACAAGTAATAGCAAATGAAACTAAACAATAGAACATAGTTGCGAAATTGTTGTAACCAGTGGGTAACTTTGATACATTTATGATAAATAAAAATACCGTAAATGGAAGATTGGATTATAACCTGCGAAGCTTTCACTACTTTACTGCCGACTTCTTTTCCTTTTCTTCTATACTTCTTATAGCATTCTGCACACTGTCCATGCACATTCTTTCCTTTATTTTCATTTTTTATCAAGTAATGTTGCGGTTCTGGAGACATATTTCATCTTCATAAAGGTGTAGCTTCAGCTTGGTCTTCTGCACGATTTCTTGTAAACATTGCAGTGTTCCGCCCTAAACTGGGTGGAAGTGATGGTCCTCTTCTTTTTTGTTGTGTATTCATTATATAAGAAATGTGCATTTACTAAACTTGTCCCCTAAATAACTTTAAATGAAAGTTTGCGGTACCAGTTTATACAACGCCACAAAGATGATCCACCTGTTGCCCTCTGTTCGCTTAGATCAATTGTTAATTTGCTATGATTGGACTCAGAAATGCATTCCGTTACTATAGATATATTTTGCTATTACTGGCGATCGTTTTTAGTTCAGATGTTTTGGTAGAAATTAAGCATTCTAATATCTTGCTTATAAGGCCATTTGGTGACAACAATTCCATCGTTTGTTTGCATAACAGATATTTCAACTCTCTTCAATTTGGCATTTATGACATTCTTTGGTAGATACTTTCAATTTTGCTCTACGTCAACGTGACCATAATTTTTCCTCCTTAGAGCAGACGATTGTAAATTTTAATAGGGATAACGCAACAATTTTTTATTTTTAGCGTAAAAAAAACTGGTAAAACTATTGTAAAACACAGTGGAATATAATGAAACAAATGATTAAAAATGAGTGAAATAGTTATTGCTGTATGTTTATTTATTAAAAATTAGAATATGAAAATAGAACTAATTTTGTGCAGTCTGGTTGGCTGATTTTCTATATTTTGGTTTGGTTTTTAAATGGGAATAGAACTGTTGACATGACTTGTTTATGATACTCTTGGCTTTCAATACTGATACTCCCAACTAAGAGTTTTACTAGTCCATATTCACATGAGAAAACACTCCTTTTTGAGAGAAATCGCCTTTTGCTTTCTTTAGTGACAGTGGGACACATAGTTTGAAAGCGGGACTGTTCTGCCCAAAGTGGGACGTATGGCCACGTTACTCTACGCATACCCACTAAATAAGTATTTCTGCGCCTCAAACGATAAGCGAGAGGTACAGTATAATAATTATCTGTGTCTATAGTTTTTCCCTAGTCTAATAAACTGTCTACCAATGACATGACAGTTTTTTCAGGAACCTAACATACAGTATACATGATATCTTGATTTACTGAAATAAACCATCATATTCCAAGTATACTCTTTGTTTGTACAGAGTTTGTAGACCTTGATGTCATATTTGGCTGCTTTGTTTGGAATGTACTGCAGGAATATGTCAGTCTTTTCACTTTCAGATAAAGTTCCAGGTAACTAACTAATGGATATATTATCAAAGAATTACTACCTGACATAATTAAATTTTCGTCTTATCTTATGGAAAAATGAAGTCAAATATCTAGGCCTAACCCTGGACAACAAACTTCTCTGGAACACACATGAGAAGGAAGTAGTAAATAAGGCCACAAAAGCCCTAATGGTATGCAGAAACATGGCGGGTAAACGATGGGGATGTAACCCAAACATACTGCGATGGATGTATACTGCAATAGTGAGACCAATCATCACTTACGGGGCTATAGCCTGGAGTAACAGAACTAGTTTGTCTGTTAGCTGTATCTATTTCGATCCAATTATTTACTTACTTACTTACTTACTTACTTACTTACTTACTTACTTACTTACTTACTTACTTACTTACTTACTTACTTACTTACTTACTTACTTACTTACTTACTTATTTAATATAATAATACTCTCCCTAATTCTCTCCCTTACGAGTGAATTTCAATCCCTGAAGTGGACTGAGCGACTACTTGTGTAGGGGAAGGGACGGCTATTATTATTTGCCGTGGCGCTCCGGGGCGACTTAAAGATGATTGATGGCGCCATTTGACTTACAGGTGAGGAAAACCCGGAAAACCTCACCCACCATCATACTTACTTACTCACTTAGTTCCATGGGTTATAAATCATTTTGACGAGTATATCTTACTGGTACTCTAAATTGAATCAATTCTAAATGGTCGGAACAATAAATAAACACTGAAATGACTTTAAACAAGAAAATAATAAATCTACTGTACTTCTTCGAAATTCTAGACATTCAAGATCCATTAAGTTTAATAAAATATAATCATAGTTGTTAAATTAAATACTAAACCTAATCAGAATGCACAATATCTCAGAAATTTGTGTCCAACGGACCTAATATGTACATAAAATGGGGACCCAACTGGAAAATTCCTTAAGACAAAACCTAAAGTTTTGAGAGCTTTATTTATTGCATGAGTGGTCTGATGATTTCTAGGGTTGTGGATTTAACTGGTCAATTGAAATATAAATAAAAC